GGCCCAGGCCATTCAAAGCATTTGGCGGCCCCCCGGCGGGAACCCCCTGGCGTCACTTTTTTAAGTTGGTCCCGGTGTCCCAAAGGGGGTCGCTGAGCAGTTGCCCATCAGAGAGCACACATGAGGCGCTTGTCCCTCACTGAAGAATAGGGAAGCTGCACCCACGAGAACAGCCCCCAGGACTTGGTCAAGTGCCAGGGTACCACCGGAGTGGCCACGGGGGGGGGGGGGGGGCGGGCAGAGCTGGCGCTGCAAGCCGCCCTGTCACCAAATGCACTGTGACCTCAGATAAGCCCTTTCTTCCCTCGGTCTCAGCTTCTTCATCTGAAAAATGATCCTTGCCCTGCCCATTGCCAAGGGGTGCCGTGAGCATAAAGGAGAAAATAGTAGTAATAATAATAAATACTGTGAATCAAGGGCTTTCTGTGCTAGAACCCGGGGTTACTACTGAGGGCTTCGACCAGCCTGGGTCCTGGGTGAAGCCAATATACCTCTGATCTCATTTAATCCTCTGGCTGGAGGGGAGGGAGGCTCAGGGTGAACACCGGTCCTCCCAGTCCTCAGAGCGCAGGACTCGATGCAGAGCCTGCTCCGAACTACACGCACTGCCCTAGTGAGGAACGGGCTCAGAGAGGCTCCGTGACTTGCCTAAGGTCACACAGCTTGGCAGTGACAAAGCAGGATTTGGAGGCCGGTCTTCTGCCCCTTGCCCACCCTCACACACCAGGGGAGGCTGAGGAGGGTCCGGACTCGACCCCTCACCCCCACCTCCCTTTGGTTTTCCAGACCTGGACAGCAGCTACCTTCCGGACAGTCTTCTGAGCGGCCCCTCGCAGGATGACAGCCTCCTGGCCTTCTCCTCCCCCGGCCTCTCCCCTGACGGCGGGCCCTCACCCGAGGAGCCCCCCATCACAGCTGCTGCCCCCCAGCCCCCCAGCCCCGAGCAGCAGCACCGGCCCCGGCTGCCCGGGGGCCCGGGGCCCGAGGGCGGGTCCTGCCTGCAGGGCTCCCTCCCCTCGGTGGACAGCGGCTCCCTCTCGGAGGAGGAGGACGAGGTGTTCTATAACTGAGGCCCAAGTTCACCGCCGTCCCGCCGGGGGCAGCCCAGGCGTCTCAGGACGTGGGGTCAGGCGGGGCCTCTGGACCCTTCAGGGCAGGCACCGGGTGGGGAGGCAGGGGCGAGGCTGGCACTCCCGTGGACCACTTCGTGCCTCCGTGGACCTGCCCGCAGTGGGAGCCATATCCCTCTCTCCCTTCTCGGCTCCTGTGGGCCCCTTCCCCCCAGCAGGGCTCCTGCCGCCCGAGCTCAAGGACTCGGCAGGCACCAGGGCAGGCCCCCAGGCAGACAACCTCAAAGGGCCTGGGAGACCCACTTGCCGTGGGGCCTGGGGACCCTGCCTGGTCCCAGAGCCGGGCCCTCCCGCCTCCCTCTGTGCTTCTGCCCCATCAGAGGTGAGGTAGCCTCTTCCGGTAGCTAAGCATCTGCTCCTCAGCGGTTATCTGAGGATACCCGTCTCCATGAACTGTCTGTCTGTCCCTCACCCTCTGACCCTGGTGCCCCGGCTCCCCCTCCTTGCGCCCTCCTGTCACCTCCCTGAAAGCTCTCTGAAGACATTAAAGTGGCGGATTCACCCTGGATGGACTTGAACTGGTCTCTGCTGGAGAAATGGTGTCCTTGAGGCTCCTGAGCCGAGAGGGTCTAGGCCAGCGGTTCTCAACCTGTGGGTCGCGACCCCTTTGGGGGCCGAACGACCCTTTCACAGGGGTCGCCTAAGACCATCGGAAAAACACATATATAATTACATATTGTTTTTGTGATTAATCACTATGCTTTAATTATGTTCAATTTGTAACAATGAAAATACATCCTGCATATCAGATATTTACATTATGATTCATAATAGTAGCAAAATTACAGTGATGAAGTAGCAACGAAAATAATTTTATGGTTGAGGGTCACCACAACATGAGGAACTGTATTAAAGGGTCGTGGCATGAGGAAGGTTGAGAACCACTGCTCTAGAAGGACTCGGGGAGGGCCCCTGCCCCTCAACACGCATACAGCTGGTCAGTGTGGTGCCCCCCAGCTGGGAGAGTCCCCACAGGAGAGACTGTCCGGGAGCCGCACCCGGGGGCCTGCACCAGCAGCCCTGGCCCGGCCACGGAGGAGGGGGGCTGGGAGGAAGGAAGCTGGGCCACAGGGTCCTGCTTATACGTGAGGCTGAGCAGTGTAAGGCCTGGTGGGGACCCACTCTCCCCATATCTCCCTGCCAGGAGGAGTGGGAGACCAGGACCCCAGGCCTGCACTGCCCACCTGACCACGAGCAGCCCCAAGAGCTTGCTCAGCCAGCACGGGAAGAAGCTGGGGTGCCACGTGAGTGCCCTTGGAGCGGAGATGGGGGGTGAATTGCGGCTCTGGGAAACGGCTTTATTTCTCTCGGGAGCCTCTGGTTGGGCGTCCACCCCAGAGGGGATCGTGCCTGCCCTTGGTGACAGCATCCATCAATCTCGTCCATCACTGGTGAATTTGACGGACAAGAGGTTTCCTGCTGTCTTGCATTCTGAGCTCGGTCCACGGTGGGATTTGTCCTTCAAGGCAGGTGGCACTTGTCCCACCCAGGATGGGACATGGTGACTATGGAGCCCTCTGAGGTGCAAGGTCAGAGCTGCCTGTTTCACTGAGGAGCCGAGCTGGGCTGGGGGGAGGGCAAGCCGTGGTGGGCAGGGAGGCAGGATACCTGCGCCATCTGCTTCGCCAGGGCACTTAGGTGCCCCCGTTCGTCTTGCCAGGCTGGCTCACTTTGGGGCCGGTGGGTTTGTCACGTTGGAAATGGCTTTCTTCAACTAAAACAGAGAAAGGGGGGCTTTTGGGGGGAAGGATGTAGAGGAGGTTGCGAATGGGGGCTCCAGTGTTGTTGGACTCCCCTACGGGTTGATTCTGGGGTGAATGTTCGAGTCAGTGCCTCCCCATTGCACAGATGGGATCACTGAGGCCTAGAGACTGGCAGGGCTGGCCACTGGTCATAAAATAAGGTAGGGTAGCCAGGCCCAGTGGCCACTTTGGGCCAGGAAGTGGGGCTCGTCAGAATCCCACGAGGCCCCTCCAAATTTGGATGGGAGGGTGCCTTCCACCTCCCCACCCTGCTCGAGCGTGGCCCCTCCACTCTGCTCCACCCGGGGGACCCTGGTACCTCCACCCAAGACACGGTGCCCACAGCTCTGCCTCGAGACGTCACGAAGAGGGACTGAAGGTTCAGCAGCTCGAAGAGGTTGTGTGCCTGGAGGAAGGGTGGGTAGGAAATGCTGGAGGTCAGGTGGCACCCACACCACCCTCTGGCTTCAACTTATCCCTAACCAGAGGCTTTGAGCAGAGGTAGAGGAGCGGTACCCTCGCTTCCAGGTCTCCCACCCGGGAAGGGGATGGTGGGTGGAAGACCAGGACCTGAGCCTGCAATGTCCAAAATGACCACAAGGGGTCGCCAGAGTCCACACAAGGAACCAGTGGGGAAAACCTGTTATCCAGCAACAGTGTCACAGAGGGGTTGGGACCACCCCCAAGTCCCCAACTGGCTTCTTCCCCTCCCTGAACCCGTGTTCCAGGCTCTGTGCTTGCGTGGGGGAGAGGGAGGGTATCAGCACTCAAAGGGATTAAATAATTTTCCCAAGATCACACAGGGAGAAAGCAGTGGATCTGAAATTGAAACCCAAAGACATAATTCAAACACTGCCTCTCTCCACCCAGAGGATTCTATTATGTAAACCCTCTCACTTCCCTAGCCTTTGCATCATCCCAACAACTCTGGGAGTGGGGTTCGGAGAGGGCAGGAGCTGCTCTGCCCGTTCTGCCCATAAGGAAGCAGCCCAGGAGGGACAGAGCCACGCTGGCTGCATGTAGGGAAGGTGGAGCCGAAGTTTCCCTCTCCGCTCTTCCCCTCTACCCCAGGGTCCTTGTGCCCGTGCCTGAGTCCTCCCCATTACCTCGTGCAGGGACGTCTCTGGAGACAGCTGCAGGGTCACTGGCTCCATGGGGCAGCCCCCAGCCAAGATGTCCTGGAGATAGTGCTGGGGACAGGGAAGGGTTTTGGGAGCCTGGGCCGGCCTCCCTCTCCCCCAGGTTGCCCCGCTCAATCCTCCTCTCCCACAGATCAGCTGTCCCCTCCACTCCCACCCTGCTGACTCCCCAACTCCCCCAACACCCCGCATGAGTACCACTTGGTGTCCTGGAGCCCAGGAAGGTGGCTCAGCCTGGAGGGCCTGCAGCAAGTGGGCCCTTCGCACGGTGCCCACCAGGATCTGAGATTCTGGACAAGCGGAGAGGGAGAAAGCTGAATTATGAGGCAGGAATTTGTATTTCCTGGGCACCTACTATGTGCCAATAACTGTGCTAGGTCTTCTTGTGTCTCTCAGGAACGTACAGCAGCCTGTGGGTCAAGAACTATTGTCACCCATTTTATAGACGAGGAAACTGAGGCTTAGCAGCACAGAGAGGCTAATTGTCTTACCCGAGGTCGCTCAGCTTCTGACGTGGAGGTGTGGTAGCCAAAGGAGGCTAAGGCTGCTGGGGGCCAGGAGGGAGTCTGCTCACCCTGAGGTCCCCCATGTGGCAGGCCTCAAAACAAGAGCAGCTTTGGGACACCTGTGCCATAGGGCGGGGTTCTGTTCCCCCCTCCCCCCAGGAAGATTCCCATCTAGTTCAGCCCAGTGAAGGCAGGCACCCGGGAGCCCACCATGTTCTGAGGTCCTACTGTGTGCTGGGGGCTTGGCAAGTCTCAATCCAGGCTATCACTGGACTTTGCAGGTACTCGGTTTTGAGGCAACAGCCTGATAGTTTTGCTTCTTATCTAGTAAAGTAAAAACTTTACAACTAGACCTTTACAAACAAACACTTAAAGCTATTTCTTGAGTGAGCAGTGGGGTCCCACGGCCCAGGGCTGCGGGTTGGGAGCTTTTTGCCTCCTGTGGCTCTGAGGGTGGCGTGGACTTTGTCTGGAGGCCAGTTCTGTCTTTGTCCCAGGAGGGGAGGCCTCTCGGAGGGGGTCTCCTCTGCGAACATGTTCAGGGGGGACCGTGGGCGTGTTCTGTGGGACGATGTAAGGGCTGCCCCATTTGGGTGGGGACACCCCAGGTCGTAGCGTGGTTTGCCCCTGACGCTGCCGCTCACAAGTGGCCCAGGCCTCTTAGGGTGGCTATGGGGGCCGATAGGACCCGTATGGATGTGCAGGTTGCTCACTCCATGAGGTACCTGCCCAAGGACAAGCGGGGACCAAAACCCAGCTGTGCCACGCTTGCCAGGTGTGCGCCCTGTCTCATGTGCACAGAGGGGACATAAAGGTGACAGCGGCCTGAGTGGACATGGCTGTACTCCCCTCGACTTTCCTTTCCCGCTCGCACTGTACTTGCCAGTGGAGAACGATGCTCTAGCCAGATGCTTCCCCAAGACTCCGCTTCTGTGTCTTCTAACAAGGGCCCCATTCATCCTTCTTTACAAAGATGCTCTCAGGGATTGTGGCGGGGACTCGGCGGGGCAGTGTTGGAAGGGGAGGCGGATGAAGGAGCCCTTCGAGACCCTGGTAGCGCCCCATCACCCTCCCCCCACGCCCCGCACACCAGGCCTGGCCTCCAGAACCCCAGGTCTGCCCTGGAGAGCTTGGCACGTGCCCTCTCATCTCCCGTGGCAGCACAGAAGCCAACCCAAGCAGGCTGGTCAGTCTCCATCTTAACAACGAGGAGGAATCAGGCTCGGGGAGGTGAAGTGATTCCCCCAAAGGCACCCAGTTACCGAGCCCGGATCCAGATGTAGGGCCAGTGCCCTGCTGCCCCTCTCCTGGGCCTGCGCCACCAAGAGGAGGTAGAGGGAAGGCCCCTCCCCATCCCCCCCCCCTTCCTGCTGAGCACCTGTGCTCTCC